GATCTTCTTGGTCTTTTTCAAATCTTCAGGCAAGTTTATGCGAGCTTTTTTGTTTCCCACGGATGACCTATGCATTTTGTTTTTGATAAAGTTTGTTTTGTTTTTGATAAAGCTATACATATTTAGTTTAAAGGTGTGTGATACAATTCAGGGGTTATGATTTACTTTCTGGGACTTGGAACTTCTTTTTTTTTTTTTTTTTTTTTTTTTTTTTTTTTGGTTTTTTTTTTTTTTTTCCCCTTTTAAAAAATTTTTTTTTTTTTTTGAGGTTTCATATTTGGCTTCCCATCTTAAATAAGTTATGTTGGGTGGGAATTTCACAAACGACACGTCAGACAACGAGCAAGCCACACGTGGCCCCATACTTATCACGTCATGTAACCCTCAACGCCTAAACCTCGTTGGTCTCTCCCGAATGGCAAGAGAGTCGAGCTGTCACGCCCCCCAAACGGAGTGAGTGACGTGGAGCTCGATTATGAGTTAATAAAATAAATTCCCAGACGAGCCCCACTCAACTGCATTAAAATATAAATAAATTACAGAATTTCAGAGCCTCTGACACACAGGGCTCCACCCCACAGGACATATAGTATCGTACATACATGCTAATGTAAATAATCATTACAACAGACATCAACCACAGTCTAATTAATCCAAATATTACATAAGTTTACAGAATTTCTCAAATTCCTTACATTTGTCCAAGAGGATGACCACAATCCTCACTTGATTCCAACAGCAGCACAACTCAGCTGCTTCGTAGCAAATATCCAGCTACTGTGCACCGCTCCTAGAATCTCCTGGGATGGGTTTAATACATTTAAAACATAAAACGTGAGCGAAAGGCCCAATAGGATATAATTTGAAATAAACGTTATAAATAGATGAATAATAAGTGAGCGAGGAAATAAATAAATGAATAAGTAAATAAAATAAGACATTCAGTTCCAACAGACAGTCGGAACCTCACATCCTTTTTCTCAAAGGAAATATAACTGAAAATAACCGTATTACAGGCTTCAGCAAGTAATTAGTACAAATTACTTACCTAACCAAGTGCCTCGCCTACCCAGACCCATTTTCGGGTTCTGCCCCCGAGGATGCACTCTCCGCATCCTATCTAGGCTTATAGCAATAGACTCTCTTACCGGTTCACAAGATCTCTTTATTAAGAAATCATTCATTAACATTCTAAAATCGTTAATATGACCTCACGAACCACTCAAGCCACGGGCCCCATGATTGGGCAAGCCATGAGGTTCCATGACTAAACAAGCCATGGTTTTCAAAGCGTTTTTCTTTCACAAACCAATCCCTTTCTTTAAAACATTTTCAAGGCCAAAATCCTTTTTAAAAACAGGCTCACAAGGAAAAGGGATAGAAATCCTACCTCATACTATCAAACCTGGGACTAGCGTTGCCTTTTCCGGGTTCCGCTTCCTCAAGCCCCTTCAGTCTGAATCCTCAGCAATCACTGATGCAAGACAACACTTTAGGATTAATTCTAATTCCTAAAGCAATCCAAATCTCAATTTCCAACCAAGATTTCCTATTAGTGTGCCCTAATCTATTTTCATGTTTCAAATTATCATTCCAAGGGTTTTCAATCTCAAAACAAGAATTAAAGATGTTAATCCATTCATCTCAAGTTCCCAAATGAAGCTAATTTGGGTTCTCCCAAAAAACAGGGGTCAAAACAGCAATTTCAGGCCAAACAGGGTCAAACCCTGTGTCAACCGGTCGACTGGTGACAGAACAGTGCATTACCACCGGTCGACCGGTGGTGTGCACTCTGGTCGATCGAATAGGTCGATCGGTCAGGCTAATGCAATCCGGTCAACCGCATAGGTCGACCAGTTTCCATGTGATCCAGTGCGGTCGACCGGTGGCACCAGCTGCGCGAGAGAAGCTCGCAGAAACCAGTCTAAAAACCTGTAAATCAAGTCCCAAATCGAGATATTTCAAAGGGAAACCACTAGATCTGGGTTCTAGGTCCTAAAACAAGTCCAAAGAACCCAAAGATCTCCAATTTCTACCCTAGGTTTACTCAAAAACCATCAAAATCCGGTTTGAACCAAAAATAAGTTTTGAAATTCAAAAACTTGAGATTCAAGAGAGGTTCTTTCAATAATCTTACCTCGAATCCTTCTCTTGACGTTGAAAACTTCTTTAATTCCTTCCTTGGTTCAAGATCCGTTTAATTTGGGACAAAAATGAGAGAAATAGAGAGAGAGTGTGAGAGAGAGCACGGGAGAGTGAAAGAGAGTGAGAGAGAGAGATGCACGGGAAAGGAAAGAGAAAAGGAAAGGAAGAAAAGAAAAGAAAAGGAAAGGAAATGGACAAGTGTCAATATTTTAAAAGAGCAGTCTAGAAATGCACCCTTACACACTTCTGGGTTAAAATAAATTACTGAGAATAATTTTAATACCTTAGAACTATTTAAACTTACACGCGTCCAATTAATAATCCAGATTAGGCACACTAATAATCTCAATTACCTTAATTAATCTCAATTAATTCTTCAGGGTGTTACAGCTCCACCCCCTTTAGGCAATTTCGTCCTCGAAATTAAGGCTAACCTCAAAGCGTAAACAGATGCGGATACTGCTCCTGCATCGTCGTCTCAAGCTCCCATGTCGCTTCCTCGACTCCATGGTGTTGCCACAACACTTTCACTAATGGGATCTCACGATGACGCAGACTCTTTATTTTTCGATCAATAATATGAATTGGTGCCTCCTCGTATGACTCGTCATCCTGTATTGGAACGTCAAACCACTGCACTACAACTTCCGGCTCAGGTTGACATTTCAATCTCAATTAATTCTTCAGGGTGTTACAGCTCCACCCCCTTTAGGCAATTTCGTCCTCGAAATTAAGGCTAACCTCAAAGCGTAAACAGATGCGGATACTGCTCCTGCATCGTCGTCTCAAGCTCCCATGTCGCTTCCTCGACTCCATGGTGTTGCCACAACACTTTCACTAATGGGATCTCACGATGACGCAGACTCTTTATTTTTCGATCAATAATATGAATTGGTGCCTCCTCGTATGACTCGTCATCCTGTATTGGAACGTCAAACCACTGCACTACAACTTCCGGCTCAGGTTGACATTTCTGAAGCATGGAGACATGAAACACGTCATGCACGTGAGATAATTCAGGTGATAAAGCCAATCAATAAGCCACCACTCCAATTCGTTGCACGATCGGGAATGGCCCTACATACCTTGGTGCAAGTTTCCCTTTCACACCAAACCGAACAATTCCCTTGCGTGGGGAAACCTTCAGTAAGACAAAGTCGCCCTCTTGGAATTCCAAAGGCATACGCCTTCTGTCAGCATAGCTTTTCTGATGACTTTGAGCTGTCAACAGTCGTTCTCGAATCACAGCTATCTTCTCATTATTCTCTTGAATAACTTCCGGTCCAGTGCTCAGTCGATCCTCTAGTTCCAACCAACACACAGGTGACCTACAAGGACAACCATATAGAGCTTCAAACGATGCCATTCCAATACTGGCATGATAGCTATTGTTATAACTAAACTCAGCTAGGTGCAGATATTTCTTCCAGTTCCCACCATATTCCAGAATACAAGCACGAAGCATATCCTCTAGAATCTGAATAACTCTTTCAGATTGTCCATCCGTCTGAGGATGAAATACGGTGCTAAAATTCAAATATGTTCACATGGCTTCCTGAAAACTCCTCCAATACCTTGCATTGAAGCGGGTATCACGATCAGACGTGATAGACAGTGGCACTCCGTGTAGTCTCATGATGTGCTCCAGGTACAATTCTAATAGAATTTTCTGAGAATACGTCACACGGAAAGGTATGAAATGCGCAGACTTCGTCAACCTATCCACCACCACTTAGATGGCATCGTGCTTCAGCTCGGTTCTCGGTAACCCCATCAGAAAGTCCATAGTGATGTGCTCCCATTTCCATCCAGGGACAGGAAGAGGTTGCAACTCTCCCGTTGGCTTCTGATGCTCAGCTTTAATCCGGAGGCAAGTCACACATTCCGAGACATACTCACGAACGTCTCTTTTCATGCCTCTCCACCAGTACTGTCTTTTTAGGTCCTGGTACATCTTTGTACTTCCTGGATGTATAGCAAACTTTGATTTTTGTGCCTCTTGCAGAATCGTCTTCTTTACCTCACCCGCCTTTGGAACAGCAAGGCGGTTGTGGAAATACAAGGCTCCATCCTCTTGGATTCTCCAATCCTCAAATTGCTCTCATTCTGGATCCGAATCCAAATTCCTTGGAGGTGTGGATCCTGCCATTGATTCTGCTTAACCTGTTGCACAATATCCGGTGTAGAGATTAGATTATACACCATAGCCTGGTTATGATCTTCGTAGAACTGAAGATCATACTCACTCACCACTTCAATCCTTTTCCAATCTTCCAAAGTTAATGACGCCAGAGTCCCCGTCGTCTTCCTACTAAAGGCATCAGCCACCACATTAGCTTTTCCAAGATGATATTACAGAGTGAAGTCATAATCTTCCATATACTCCACTTATCTCCTTTGCATGAGATTCAAGTCTTTCTGAGTAAACAAGTACTTCAGACTTTTATGGTCAGAAAAGACCTGAAACTTTGCTCCATAGAGATAACATCTCCATATCTTCAGAGTAAATATTACCGTTGCCAGCTCTAAATCATGAGTGGGGTAATTCCGTTTATGTGGTCTTAATTGGCGAGATGCGTACGCTACCACACGTCCCTCTTGCATTAAGACACAGCCAAGCCCACTCCCCAATGCGTCAGAATACACCTCATATGGTTCTTCATTATCAGAAATAGTCAAGACTGGTGCACTTGTCAGTCTGACCTACAATTCCTGAAAAGCATTTTCACATTCGGCGTCCCACTAGAATCTGACTTCTTTCTTGGTCAACCGAGTCATCGGTGCAGCAATACTCGAGAAGTCTTTCACGAAACCCTGATAGTACCCTACAAGTATGAGGAAACTGCGAATCTCCGCTACATTCTTCGGCCTTTCCCACTGTAGCACAGTCTCGATCTTAGAAGGATCGACAGAGATTTCTTGTCCTGAAATTACATGCCCAAGGAACTTCACTTCTGTCAGCCAGAAGTCACATTTCTCCTTCTTAGCATACAACTGGTGTTCACGAAGAGTTTGAAGAACAATTCTCAAGTGCTGGTCATGTTCTTCCCAAGTCTTCGAGTAAACCAATATGTCGTCAATGAAGCCAATTACGAACCAATCCAAATACGGCCGAAAAACACGGTTCATCAAGTCTATGAATGCCGCCGGGGCATTCGTCAGCCCAAAAGGCATCACCAGAAACTCGAAGTGTCCATATCGAGTTCTGAAAGCAGTCTTCAAAATGTCTTCCTCCTTGATTTTCAGCTGATGGTACCCAGATCTCAAGTCAATCTTAGAGTAGAACTGTGATCCACCCAACTGATCGATGTGGGTATTTGTTCTTCACAGTCACCTTGTTCAATTGACAGTAGTCAATGCACAACCGAAGAGATCCGTCGTGCTTCTTCACAAATAGCACCGGTGCACCCCAAAGGGAAGTGTTATTCCGGATATATCCCTTTTCTGTCAGCTTCTCAAGCTGCGTTCTTAATTCTTTCATCTCCTCCGGAGCCATCCGGTATGGAGGAATGGAAATAGGTGCCGTTCCCGGAACCAAATCAATACAGAATTCAATCTCCCAATCTGGCGGTAAACCAGGTAGCTCATCAGGAAATACATCTGTAATCTCATCCACTACAGGGATTCTCGCACTATCCCCAGTTATCTTGGGTTCACCTTCTAGAGCAAGAAGAGAAGAAAAACATGTCAAGTTCTTCCGTCCCCCAACGCTGTACTTCAACAGTCGTTCTCCCAGGTCTGGGTTCATATCCGCCTGATAAGAAATCACTGTTCCGAAATTCGTCACCAAAGTTACTTTTCTATGGTAGCAATCAACAATCGCACCGTACCTTGACAGCCAATCCATTCCAAGTACCACGTCAAACGGGCTCATAGGAAGGATAATCAAATATGCTCTCAATCGCTCACCGCCAATCGTGATTTCACACGATTTACACACACTCATTACCTCCACACATCCCAGTGGAGAGTTCAAAGTCGTCGGGACTTCTAAATTCTCAGATTCCAGTTTCAAGTTCCGTACAAAAGAACTTGATATAAACGAGTGTGTGACACCTATATCAAACAATACGTGAGCAAAAGAATGAGAGATTAGAATCATACCCTCAACCACCGTGTTGTTGGTCTAACCTCCAGAGCTGCCTCCTGCCAGGGTATAAGCTTGTCCCTGTACTTTCCCTTTCCCTCTGTCACCAACATTAGGCCGTTAGGTCGGAGGCCTATACTGTTGTGGTGGAGGTGGTTGTACCGGTCTCGGCGCTTGAGGCCAGAATTGTGTATACAGAGGTGGTTGATTAGTCGGTACAAAATGGTATGGCATCTGTTGTAGCTGATATGGTGGCATGTACTGTGGTGGCCCTTCTTGACTGTAGGAAGCGTCACTTTGGGCTTGTTGAGCCAGCGGCCGATTAGGATAATTCTTCCTAATATGACCCACCTGCCCACAATGGTGACACCTAGGCCCGTATGGAGCATTTCTGTCACTTTCGGATGAACTACTGCCACCGCTTGTCATTTCCTCAACCGTCTCTCCCTGGTTGCGGTTTCTTCTACCATTCCGCTGTGGCCCACCTGAAACAGAAGGTCTACCAGAGACAGAGACTCGACCAGTTGCCTCTTTGCTTTGGTGATAGGCCAAGTTATCCTGTTCTACCCTTGTAGCTGCAGCTACCAAATCCCGGAAGTTTCGAAGTCTCAGAGCCACTAAGGATCTCCTCACAGAGTTCTTGAGGCCCTTCTCAAACTTAAGACATCTCATGTGTTCAGATTCCACCAGAGATGGTGCAAACCGGATAGGTCATTAAACTGGGCCTCATATTCCCTCACAGACATGTCTCCTTGGAGTAGAGACATAAATTCCATCACTTTTTCATCCTTATAACTCTGAGGGAAGTATTGCTCATTGAACAGTGTCTCAAACTGCTCTCAAGTCAATCCTGCAACATCTATTCTTCTCTTGACCTGTTTCCACCAAGTATTTGCTAAACCCTCCATCTTGTATACAGCAAATTCCACCCAGTATTCATCTGGGACTCCCATAGTACTCAAGTGCTTAACCTTGGAGTCAATCCAAAACTCTGCTTCCTGAGGTCCTCCCTCACAGTTAAACGAGGGGATAGGCGCTCATCTAAATTCCCAGAAATAATCTTGTTTCCTATCCTCAACCGGTTGCTCATTCTGAGCTCTCGTGGCCATGCCCCGAAAGGCAGCATACATGGCATCCAAGAACCCTTGGTTCGGTTGTGCTGGTTGATTAACTGGTCTACGGCGAGGCGCCATTTTCCTTTAACTGAAATAAAACTAGACTATTCAGTGGATTACAGATGTCACACATGTATGTACAATCCTGGGGTTTCTTAACCTGGGGCTCTGATACCACTCTGTCACGCCCCCCAAATAGGGTGGGTGACATGGAGCTTGATTAAGAGTTAATAAAGCAGATTCCCAAACGAGCCCCACTCAACTGCATTAAAATATAAATAAATTACAGAATTCCGGAGCCTCTGACACACAGGGCTCCACCCCACAGAACATACAGTATCGTACATACATGCTCATGTAAATAATCATTACAACAGACATCAACCACAGTCTAGTTAATCCAAATATTACATAAGTTTACAGAATTTCTCAAATTTCCTTACATTTGTCCAAGAGGATGACCACAATCCTCACTTGATTCCAATAGCATCACAACTCAACTGCTTCGTAGCAAATATCCAGCTACTGTACACCGTTCCTAGAATCTCCTGAGATGGGTTTAATACATTTAAAACATAAAACGTGAGCGTAAGGCCCAGTAGGATATAATTTGAAATAAACGTTATAAATAAATGAATAATAAGTGAATGAGGAAATAAATAAATGAATAAGTAAATAAAATAAGACATTCAGTTCCAACAGACAGACGAAACCTCACATCCTTTTTCTCAAAGGAAATATAACTGAAAATAACCGTATTACAGGCTTCAGCAAGTAATTAGGACAAATTACTTACCTAACCAAGTGCCTCGCCTACCCAGACCGATTTTCGGGTTCTGCCCCCGAGGATGCACTCTCCGCATCCTATCTAGGCTTACAGCAATAGACTCTCTTACCGGTTAGCAAGATCTCTTTATTAAGAAATCATTCATTAACATTCTAAAATCGTTAATATGACCTCACGAACTACTCAAGCCACGGGCCCCATGATTGGGCAAGCCATGAGGTTCCATGACTAAACAAGCCATGGTTTTCAAAGCGTTTTTCTTTCACAAACCAATCCCTTTCTTTAAAACATTTTCAAGGCCAAAATCCTTTTTAAAAACAGGCTCCCAAGGAAAAGGGATAGAAATCCTACCTCGTACTATCAAACCTGAGACTAGCGTTGCCTTTTCCGGCTTCCACTTCCTCAAGCCCCTTCAGTCTGAATCCTCAGCGATCACTGATGCAAGACAACACTTTAGGATTAATTCTCATTCCTAAAGTAATCCAAATCTCAATTTCCAACCAAGATTTCCTATTAGTGTGCCCTAATCCATTTTCATGTTTCAAATTATCATTCCAAGGGTTTTCAATCTCAAAACAAGGATTAAAGATGCTAATCCATTCATCTCAAGTCCCCAAATGAAGCTGATTTGGGTTCTCCCCGAAAACATGGGTCAAAACAACAATTTTAGGCCAAACAGGGTCAAATCCCGTGTCAACCGGTCGACTGGTGACAGAACAGTGCATTACCACCGGTCGACCGGTGGTGTGCACTCCGGTCGACTGGACAGGTCGACCGGTCAGGCCAATGCAATCCGGTCGACCGCATAGGTCGACCGGTTTCCATGTGATCCGGTGCGGTCGACCGGTGGCACCAGCTGCGCGAGAGAAGCTCGCAGAAACCAATCTAAAAACCTGTAAATCCAGTTCCAAATCGAGATATTTCAAAGGGAAACCACTAGATCTAGGTTCTAGGTCCTAAAACAAGTCCAAAGAACCCAAAGATCTCCAATTTCTACCCTAAGTTTACTCAAAAACCATCAAAATCCGGTTTGAACCAAAAATAAGTTTTGAAATTCAAAAACTTGAGATTCAAGAGAGGTTCGTTTAGTAATCTTACCTCGAATCCTTCTCTTGACGTTGAAAACTTCTTTAATTCCTTCCTTGGTTCAAGATTCGTTTAATTTGGGACAAAAATGAGAGAAACAGAGAGAGAGTGTGAGAGAGAGCACGGGAGAGTGAAAGAGAGTGTGAGAGAGAGAGATGCACGGGAAAGGAAAGAGAAAAGGAAAGGAAGAAAAGAAAAGAAAAGGAAAGAAAATGGACAAGTGTCAATATTTTAAAAGAGCAGTCCAGAAATGCGCCCTTACACACTTCTAGGTTAAAATAAATTACTAAGAATAATTTTAATACCTTGGAACTATTTTAACTCACACGCGTCAGAAACATTCATTAATTAATACTCAATTAATAATCTAAATTAGGCACACTAATAATCTTAATTACCTTAATTAATCTCAATTAATTCTTTAGGGTGTTACACGAGCGTACGAGACCGTCGACCGTATACACAGTCGAGGTCTGCGAGACCAGCCCGGGAAAAGTAGCACGACAAAGTCGACCATGAGGAGTCGACGCTTGGCTGATGTCAACATAGGTGCAGAGGGTATACTTGAACAGCTGACTCCACACCCCGAGGCCCCTGAGGTGACCGGTTGAATATCCCAACGTTGCGTATGGATTTGGAGGAGGTCAGTTGCACAAGAAATGATTACAAGCCCCCTAAACTGCCTAGAATAGGTCAAAATATATTACAGAAGATTTGCAGAGCCGTAATAGGGGGACAAATTGGATGAGTGAACAGTCCAAAAGGTGTTGGCAAGCTATGATCTAGGCAAATAAGGCAATAGGCCACTTGAGTGAATGGGCCCACTCGGGGAAATGCCCACTGGTCCCAACCGCCCACCATTGGATAAGACCCAGGACAAATGGGCTATAAAAAGGAAAAAGACCCCCCGAGAGAGGGGGGGATTGCTTCTCTTGTATTGAAACTCACTTGTAAACAAACAAATCAAAAGAAATACAATCCAGTGGATGTAGCTCTTGATTTATAAGGGTGAACAACTATAAAATCTTTGTGTCTTCTTATTATTACGAGGATCATAGCATACACTTCACAAAACACCATCACAAGAACACACACATACGGCGAAATCACAAGTTCCGAACCGGTAACCAAGCGGGCTACTGCGGGGTAACTTGGTACGGCACAAAACATGTCTCATTTGTTTCCGAAATGAAAGGTTGACTCTTTTGTTTTTATTTTTATTTTTATTTTTTTGAGGTTTCATATTTGGCTTCCCATTTTAAATAAGTTTCAAAACATGTCTCATTTGTTTCCGAAATGAAAGGCCTTAACTTAATTTTACGAAATTGTAACATTAGTAATCTACCTAGCTAATTGATTAAGAAAAGCATATGACATCCTTAACTAATTACTATGGATTACATGTGTTAATGATTTTTGGTTTAGATTAAGGGCACCTCTACTTACAACCACAATTTTATTTTTCACACATTTATTTTTAAACCATCCACATTGTACTTGCTACACTCCTCTTAAATAAAAAAAAAAAGAAAAAAATCCCTCACAACTAAATTGTATTATTTCTCTTTTTTTTTTTCACCCACCCGCCGATCAAATTTATCATTTTTTTACAACCATTTTCCTTTTTTAACCATTTGGGCTTTTTTTTTTTTTTTTTTTGGTTTTCACACAAAATTTGATTATTAAAAAAAAAAAAAAAAAAAAAAAAAAAAAAACACACACACACACACACAAAGGAAGAGAGTTTGTATAATGCTCTCAATAGTATAATGTTTATATACTATTAGTACATAAAATAAGGGAGGAAAAGAAACATTTTATATACAATCAGTGTATATATATTTCAACCAAAAAAGTAATTCATGAAATTAGAAAACACAGAGAGAGAGAGAAGGGGAAGCGGAAGTAAAGCAGGCCTGATCAATATGCCAGGCTCTTTTTATTATTGGTTTTATATGTTTTCTTCCATGTATATGCTCAAAAGTTCATTTGCACAGTATTAAACGGAGCTTATCATTTTCTAAACAATTTTTAGGGACCGACTTAAGCAAAAAAATATGACACAGAGAAGCCTCGAGAACAAACACAGAAAGGTGAGAACTGCAATATGCGCAAAATTATTTTTTTTTTGGTTATAAATATAATGATTAACCTTGTTTTCAAAACCTATGGTGTTCTCTTATCAGCTAAGGATTACTTGATCATTGAAAATGCTGTTAGTTATAACGAATTAACAATCATACAGATTTTCTATGAATCGGAAACCTTTTCTCCTTTTACGAATCGGAAGTTTTTAAAAACTAATGGTAAAACCACCAAAATTTGAATGAGAAAAAAAAAAGAATTTTTAAAGAAAAATTTAACCACATACTATTTTATGGAGGGATTCTTTCACATTATAATATATTTCTATTATTTTGAAAAATGTAGGGCACAATTAATCTTAAAAGGCAATAATTTTTTTTAAAGTTGAGTGTTTTAAAGTTGGGTGTGTAATGAGTATTTTTTAACAAATAATTGTCTTTAAGAGTGATTTTATTAATAGATAATTTAGTAATAAAAAATTTTATTAAAAAAGAGTGTGAAAATTAACAGAATGAGAGGTGTCAATAAATGATAAAAATAAAATTAGTAGTTCTGATTCTTCTTATATAACTTATTTTTTTATACATATATATAAATAA